TAAAAAATAATAATTTTGCAATAAAATTTCAAAGACAAAAGTATAAAAATCATCATAAACCTGTTAATGGGAATGTGATATAAAACTGCAGTAACATAATTTTGAAATGATATATAAATATACAGGACTTTTATATTGAATTGAAGTTAATTCGTCACCAATTTAAAATATAATGTAAACTTTAAAGTTTCAATGTAAATGACAAAATGAAACCCCATAGAATGTGTAAACAGAAGAAAGAGAGGAATGAAAACATGTCACCATGAAAAGCAATGAACCACAAATGAAACCATTAAGAAAAGTAGGGAAAACAATTACAAGAAATATAGAAAACTGCTTACAAACTAGGAGTAGTGATTTCTAAATACTGAGAAATTTACTTGATTACAAATGCATTATTACCAAACCTCAATCAAAACAAAAAGCCTGAGTAACAGAATTAAAACTACAAAAATACAATGGTATGTAATCTACAGGAGACTCTATACCTAGACACAAAAAAAGTGAAAGCAAAAGAATATAAAAATGTTACATACAAAAGTGACCAAAAGAAAGCTGGGTCACTAAGCTATGATATGCAAAACATAGTTTTAAACAAAAAGTTACATGAGATTAAAAAATAGATTTCAACTTAAAAAAATTAAAAAGAGGCAAAGTAGCATACTATATAAAGATAAAAAGTACTTTTCCTTTGGATACTGCAATAAGAATAGATATACTTTTAACTCATTTAAATAATACTTCCCAGATAGAAAAGGGTAAGAATGAAGGAAGTGAATAAAGAAATAGAAAGCGATACTATAATACTAGGAGACACAAATTCCCATTTGCTGTGAAGTCCAACAAAATGGTAATCACAAAAGACTGAAAAATACTTTAAACCAATTTGACTTATATACTCAAAGGTATTACTGGCAAATTATACTAGATAGACTAACTTACAGGGAATAAAATAAAGGTTAATTAGAGATGAAGATACTAAAACTATTTTGTAGACATCATAGAATAAAATTAGAAATCAAAAGTGGAAGGAAAGTTCAAAAATATGTGGCAATGGATTGAATATACTCAAAGCTATCTGGAGACTCCACGTAATATCTATCAAACTCCCAATGTTACTTTTTGCAGAAACAACAAGTGAACACGGCAGCTTTTTTCAGTTGTTAATATTGACATCAAGTTAGACAAATAGGCATATAGAGTTCTGAGTGGATGTGGTATAATAAGCCTTCCCATATATGGCAAATAAAGACATTTGCACACCAATGTTTGTTACGATATTACTCAACAGGACCATGATATGGAGGCAAACCAAATGTCCCTTGAAATGAGTAGATGGAGCAATTCAGACTATAGAAACTATAGAATATTTTAAAGTCAAAAAAGTAAGAAATTTTCTAAAATCTGTAATAAGGATAAATTTAAGTACATTATGTTTACTGAAATAAGTCACTACCAAAAAGACATATACGGCAGAACTGTACTGATATAAAATATTTAATCTAACAAACAAAAAGAAAACCCCTTTCTGAACAGAAATAAGAATGGTGTTTGTGATGAAGACAGAAATGAGGCCTTGTTTATTTTTTTAGTATGATTTTACTGTATTATTGCTCCTAGAAAAATTTAAATACATGTTAAAAATTATATACAAAGCTTGCAATTGTGATTTTTATTACATCTCTATTGGACAGCACTGTTCTACAGATCATCCTGCTTTTAACAGTGTGTTATTGAAAACCTCATCCTTTTGGAAAGGAGGGAAAGTATTAATGAAGAGGAGGTGACAGCAGTAGATGATGTGCAAAAGGGGGAGGTTAACTAGGATATGCACTTGTCCATCTATTTGTCTTTTGTTTGTATGATTCACAAAAAATGAAAAAAAAAAAAAAAAAAAAAAAAAAACACCTCCTTGGCAAAATGAGTTTTTTCAGCTCTCTTCATCCCAGGTAAGTAGTATTCTGTAGCTTGCCCATCTCCAGGAAAAACCTGTTCTCAGATTTACTTTAGCTAATATACTGGAAAGGATCTGATAAGATAATTCACACCACATTGCAAATAACTGGTAACTTTATGTTTACCCTCTCAGAGGGAATTTCCATTTTAACAGGAAACAATCCCTGAACCCAAAGGATGGTGGGGTTTCAGTCATTAGTGAAAGGTGAGTGAGAAGTAGAATCTGGTTTTATATAAAGTGTGTTTATATGTATGGCTACACTCTGGATGTGGTTGAGAGTAGGGTCTTCGGATAGAAAGGTGTTGTGGCTGACTAACAAGCTGAGGAAAGAAGGTAGCAAATCCCCAGCTGGATCAGAAATGGGAAGGGCTCTCAGATACCAACCAGATTCAGTGCTGGCCCTCAAGGGTTTATTAAGCAATAGAATAACACAGTTGATGTCACCAGAGGGTAGGTATAAAGATGGTCTCCATGGAATCTACTATGGAGTAGCAGAAAGACTCTCAGAGTAGGATTCAGGAGACTTGTTATTGCAGTCCACTGACTCACTGGCTTAACTCTGGGCAAGTCCTTTACCCCTTGGGTCTCATTTTCTTTCTCTGCTGCAAGTCAGAGAAGGGGATAGGCTCGCTGGCCAGCACTTGGTGGGGCTGGCTGGTAAGAGACAGCAGTGGTGGCAGCTTCTTCCAATGGGTCAGGCTCAGCACAGCCAAGCATGTGCTGTACTGCCTTGCCAGGTCCATGTACTCATGCTGCTCCATGCCCTGGGAGTCTGCAGCAGACACATCGATGATGTTGCTAGCTGTTTTTGCGAGGATGGAAGAGAGCATCTCATCTGTGCGAGCAGAAGGCAGGCTGTGGTAGTTGGGCTCAACTCCATTGAGGGATTTGGTGGGGGGGGCTACTAGGGTCCAATAGCAGCTTCCACTCCTCTCGGTCCTGGTCCGAATCCTTGTTTTCACTGCTGTAGCAGCACCCCATGGCCGGGGTCGGGCCGGGCGCTCAAGCCACACGGAAGAGGGACCAAGGCCTTGTTTAGATGGGAACTTTTTGAGATGTAAACTTTCTAGAGATATATTACATAATACTTTAAATTACCATTACTGAACAGTAAACTTGAAATGTTGGAGAAAGCAAGTTTTGTTTTGTGGTTTTGATCAAAATTAAAATTTTAAACAATACATAAGATAAACAAAATTGCAAAATTTTGAAAGCTATGGTCTTTATCCTATAAATAAGAACAAACTCGTCAATATAAATTATGGGAGTGCATGTAATCCCAGCTACTAGCAATTCTGAGTCCGAGAGATTATAAATTCAAAGCCATCCTCAACAACTTACTGAGAACATCTCTCCAAATATAAATAAAAAGGGGCTGGGATGTAGCTCATTACTAGCACACTTTTGAATTCAGTCTCCATTATATTTATGTATAGGAAATTTCTATTACTATGCACATAGAAAGGATAAAAAACAAGTCCAGATAAAATATTAAAGTCATTTTTTAAAAAAACAGGTGTAATATTTATACAATTAAGTAAAAGCACATTTAATTTTATTGGCAACAGAAACAATGTTCATGCATATTTCAACTTACATGGAATTTTTGAAGTAATGGAATTTTGCCATCTAATCACAAATAAAACAGTATTAACAGATGTGAAAAATTCTACTCTACAATGTGAAACTACTCTATAAAATGAAAGAAAAAAAGAGAAAATTCAACCAACAAAATTGTAAATAACAACAGAAGTATTATTTTTACAAACCCTTTTGTATAACTACATTTATATCTGTGACTGCAGACCCAAAAAATTGCAGTCACTGTGAGAATCCTGACATTCATTACATGGCAGAAGATTTCACAGAAAATCCATTTTAAGTATTCAGAAAGAGCTCTGATAAGGGAATTTTAATGAATAAATACATAAACAATATCAGAGAGACTGCTTTGTGACATTAACATATTACAATGGTTTGACCTGGAGGTCTCTGGAAATGTGCACAGCTTTCTTAGAGATCCACAAATAAGGAAGACCTGTAAGATCATGCAGACCCTCACAAGCAAAGGGAAGTGCTTTGGTGATTAACTGGAATGAACTGGGACCTCACTGGAAGAAAACAGGAGACTAAAACTGAAACTGAAAGCATAGGGAAGTACGCGTTGTTCTATGACAACAACAGAAAGAAACCTAAGCTTCTGAAAAATCTTTTCTGCTGGGATAACTTCTCAATCAACATTTTGAAGTCTGGCTTCCTCCTTGACTTTTGGGCCTTTCAACTGTGGCCTCTACTCTAAGTACAATTTATCTAGAGCAAAGGATATATATCACAACAAGAAAGGGAGAGATTAAAGATTAAAAGAAATGTAATTAATATTCTATCTATACCCAAACATGCCCTATCTTTTTTCTTGAAAGCACAAATCTGAAATTCATTCTTGCAGAGAAGTTCCCCAAAAAGAGGAAGGAAATTAAATATTGATAATTAATTAGGAATTAATTAGGAATTAATTAATTAATTAGGAATTGTGAAGGGAAGTCATCCTCACCCAGGAAGACCAAGTTTCTGTAGTTCTCTAACATCACATCTCTATATAAATTTCGCTGAGCAGGATCCAGGCATTCCCACTCCTCTTCAGAGAAATTAATGGCCACATCTCTGAATGCCAACAATTCCTGGAATGAAAAATCAGTATAAAAATAGCACATTGACCACAGTTTTTAATTAACCAAAGTTGAAATGAGAATAGAAATGGCTCTCATGTAGGTGAGGAACTTCTAGTATTTAATAAGATAATTTTAAACACAGTGATACTCTCTATGATCTAATTCTGAGGAAAAAGTGACATAAGTACAAAAAGTGCATATACCTTACTTTTGTGAAATAAAATATAAAATTATGGCATCAACACAAGAATATACATTTTAATTGTTATTTTACTTATCATAAGATAAATTGTACATATGCCTCATATAGGTGAGTTATGGTGATTTAGAAGGGTAATTCTAAAATTGTAATTGTACAACCACAAATCAGCAATTTACTAAAATGTACACTCTTGATTCAGTAGTTCTGAGATGAAACCTGGTTGTCTAAATGTACAGCAAGCTCTCTAGTGATTCCAATAACAGTGGTATAAGAGAAATTTTTGAATTGCAAGGAGCTAGACCACTAAATGAAACATTCATTGATGAGTCTACATTCAAATATTTTATGGGATTTATGCATGTTATTAAAATAGCAAATAGCAACAATCCTTTTTGATAATTTCAAATGTGTACATATCACTCTAAGAGGTTTTTCATATCTTAATTCATAAAAATGAAAATAATATGATAGCAGTAAGAGTATTCATCTTTTATGATATTTTATAAAGCATCCAGTAAATGGTAATGCTTGACTTTTGCCCAAGTTTATTTGAGCTGGAATTTAGAAGGAACATTCAAGTCAAAAGAAAGTATGAATGTTACAAAGAATTTTCAGAGCAGGAAAGTTATTATGAATAAGAACAGTAATGAAAACATGTTAAGAAGACAACAAAATCAAATTGATTAAGTGATATTTATATTTTATATACACAGACATAAAAATGTCAACTTTTATGCATTAAAATAAATTTTCATGTAAATAAAAAGAAGAAATATATTCCATTTTTAAAAAAATATTTGTTTCCTTTAGTTGTACATAATGCTTTTATTTTTATTTATTTATTTTTATGTGGTGCTGAGAATCGAATCCAGGGCCTTGCACATTCCAGGCGAGCGCTCTACCACTGAGCCACAACCCCATCCCTATATTCAATTTTTTTAACTTACAAATCAATTTGGGATAGTGATTTTTTGAAAAACACACTATTGAACCAATCACAGTGGCACATGTCTGTAATCCCTGAGGCTCAGAAGGCTGAAAGAAGCACATTCAAAGCTAGGCTCCACAATTTAGTGAGGCCCTAAACAACATAGTGAGACTCTGTCTCAAAATTTTAAAAAGGGGGCTGTGGATATTGGTCTGTTTTCAAGTACCCCTGAGTTCCATCCCTGTATCAAAACAAAAAAGACTAAATAACTCTATGGGTCAAAGTGACCCTGAGAAGAATGATCAATGTTATTATAAACAAGATTTTGTTTAAGGAGGTGATAACCTTCCCCAGAAGAAAAAAAAAAAATACCCCCTAAAAAGGGAAAAATTGATAGGGATTTAAAGCCTCCACCGTACAAGTTTGATTTTGGCAAATACCTTGCAATACCCCAATCCTGCCTGTTTAACAAAGGAAAAACACACTGGTGACTACTAATTTGGGCAAGACCTGAGAGCTACAAATTACACTGTTGCAGATATTCATCCCACAGTACCTAATCCATACACCTTACTAATGGTGATGTCAGGTAACTGCCTGGTTCACAGTGCTAGAATTAAAAGGTGAGTTCTTTTTGCAACCCTCTTAAAAAGAATTCCTAATCACTGCTTTTGAGTGAAAGGACTTCAATACAAAAGTAACTATTCAGGATTGCCAGACTATCTTACATAAGGAATTCAAAATCTTTTGTGTTTTGTTTAATGGATGGCTACCAAAAGAGTTAGCTGTGAGGGTTACAGCTGGATAAAGAAATCCTTTCATGATATAAGGATGATCTGCTTGTAGCCAACCCCAACTACGAACTCTGATTTTCAAATACTATTGCTGCAGGAAACCACCACCCCTCATGTGGATATGAGGTGTCCACTAAAATGACTTATTTTGTAAATAAATCACCTACCTGGGACTCCTGATTAGCCAATGACCTAAATCTTGATGTCAAGATTAAAATCAAGCTAGCTTGAGCCTTAAAGAACTAGAGACAGATACATGGGTTCCCAGAAATGTGTTACGATCTAGATATTAGGTGTCCCCCAAAAGCTCACATGTGAGACTACGAAAGGTTTAGATATAAAGTGACTGGGTTATGACAGTCTTACCTATTCAGGGCATTAATCCCTGATAGGGGCTGCATGGTAAATGCAGGCAGGTAGGGTATAGCTGGAGAAGGTAACTCCCTGGGGTTTATATTTTGTCCCTGTCGAGCAAAGCTTTCTGTGCTTCCTGGCACCATATTCCCAACTGCTTTTCCCACCACAGTCTTCTGCCATGATATTCTGAATCATCCAGGCCTTGAGGAATGTAGTTGGCTACCTATGACTGAAACAGTAAACCCCGCTGAATAAACTTTTCCTCCTCTAAAATTGTTCTTGTTATTCGGAATTTGGGTCTCAGCACTGAAAAAATTGACTAAAACACTCAGCATGCTGCCATATTTGGGTCCCTAGTTTTGGACTAACAGGTAAACTCCTGCATGAAGCCTTAAAAGGAACAAATAAAACGTTTCACTTATATATCAGAATGCCAAGCTGTCTTTGAGAAGTTAAAACAAAGGTTCATGACAGCCCCTCCCTAGGCCTGTCTGACTCTATGTGAATGAGAAACAAAACACAGACCATGAAGTTCTCTTACACACACTGAAGGCATATTGCAACCAGTAGCCTATGTGTGACAACGTCTTGACCACACAGTGAAAGGAGGGTACTCTGCCTTTGGGGTATGATTGACACTGGTGATTTACCACAAGAGGTTGAGAAACACACTCTAGAACTATCCATCACTGGGTTTGTTGCTCATCAAGTCCTGTCCTACTTAAACAGAAGGATTAGTGTCAGCTGACTCCTAGGATGATAGGGAGATCACAGATCATCCTATCTGACAATCTAAATGTCAACCTCAACAGAAACCATGCCACCTTAAATCAAAAAAAA